AATACACCTCTTTTAAAAACGAATTGTTCGAATCAAAGTGAAACTTCATTGAATCGGATTCGGAACCAGATCGTCGGTACACAACGAAGCTTCAATTGTAAAAGTTTTAGCTAAACAGAAAGAAAATCATGCTGCTGAATGAGGTTTATATTTGAACCGAACTGAACTTGCCGATAGTCTGAACAATTATATGAAATTGAAAACTAATCCTAACGGCAAGATTTAATTTAGTAACTAGAAAATCATTAGATTTTCCTATGTTGAAACAGATTTTTAAAATACTTTTGCAAATAGTAGATTAACTGGTTAAGTTTGAGTGAAATATGGAATGGAAAATAGCTGTGACCAAAAAACTGCTTTAATCGTAGCTTCAATCAATGCCAACTATTATCCAATCATTTCAAAAACTGATCAAAAGCCCAAAATTTTGAAACCATCCAAAAAAGTCATTTTTTGTCTATTTTCAACACACAACGATTTGTTTAAAGAGTTTGCTACTCCCTATTCCTAATCTAGGGTACCACTAAGGGAGTGATCGTTCCGGGATTAAATTGCTATAAACCGAGTTCTTCGATTGCGAGTCAAAGAGTGCGCTTTCTTTACGTCTACGCAAGGCTGCAAGGAAAGAAATCATACAAAGTTTTATTTACAAAAAGACACGAAGAACGTATGATCAAAATTTTAGCATAAGCTTTTCAATCCGAGTTCTTTGTTCTTTTTTCTTTTTTTATTGAGAAAGGTGAAGAAAACATCCAAACAGCTTAGCCCTTGGGAGTTCTTTCAAAAAGCTTGAATAGCGGCCTCATTAAAATCCAGTAAAATTTTTTCAGGTCTGCTCTTAGGTGTTAAAATTTTTATAGCCTCTAAGAAAAGATGGTACTTTTTGAACCTGTTTTGTTTCTCTAGCTAATCCAAATGCAATAATTTTTGAGATGCAAGAGCCATCGCGAGCATAAACAATGGTTTCTCTGGCCTCAGTTTTTAAGGGAATTCGATTGGAATTCAACCAAAGTTATAAAAGGACTTAGTTTGAAAGAAGTTATCGGTAGCAAAAGAAAATAAATTGTTGTGGGTTGTCGTGTTACGGTGTCATAAAGAGGGGAGTCTGAACAAAAAATTCTAAGGACGCCGAATCTGATTTGGTAGAGCCAGTCTTTGACCAGCAACAAGTTACTTTCAAATACTAGTATTTGTCGGTTTTCTTATATTTATTCACTGTATGCCTCAAAATTAATTGTTTTACTTCTTCTACTCACCTAGCGACAAAGGACATACATCTGCGAGGGTCACTGACATCAACTCGGCTGACTTTTTAATCATGGCTGCCTGGATTGCTGCACCACGCGCCACTATCTGGTCCGGATCGCCTGTGTACATCAAACGGGAAACATCTGGAAATTTGTTCATGAGGAGCTCCCGGATCTTGGGAATTTTAGTGGATCCCCCAACTAGCAGAACGAAACTTATTTCATCAACAGATAGCTTAGCTTCACTTAAAGCGTCGTCCACGTACTGTATCGTCTTGTTGAACAAATTTTCGTTCAGCGCTTCAAATCGAGCCCTAGTCAGTGTTACTTTGAAATCATTTCCATTTATCAACTTTTTCACATCGATTTCAGTGCTGATTCCTCCTGATAAGCTGTGTTTTGCAAGTTTGCAAGCTTCTATGAGTTTATGCCTGGCTTCTCTGGATTCTCCTAAACCACTTCCACAGTTTTTCTTGACTTCTGGCTCCAGATATTTGGCCAAGTTTGTGTCGAAATCCCGACCACCTAGTGCAGAATCTCCATTTGAATACACAACTTGGAAAACCTCGTTTTTACACCGAACGATTGTTAAATCGAATGTTCCAGCGCCTAAATCGTAAACAAGAATTTTTTTGTCCTCGAGTTCAAATTTTTGGTCCAGGCCATACGCCAAAATGGCAGCTGTCGGCTCATGGATCAGTCGAAGAACTCTCAGTTCGGCCAATTGAGCTGCTGAGAGAGTAGCTTCGCGCTGTTCGCCGTTGAAATAAGCCGGAACTGTAATAACTACTTCGTTTACGCTTTGTTGCAGTTTTCTTTCGGCCAACCGTTTCAGTTTATTCAGAATCATGGCCGAAATCTGTTCAGGGCTTAACAGTTTCTCTTCTTTGAAGCAGATTACCCTGAATTTAGGGTTGTTTTTCCTCTCAACCACTTCAAACGTGCATGATTCTTTTATTTTCTCAATGTCGGGGTCTTCGAATTTCCGACCAATGAAGCGCTTTGCGTCAAATATTGTATTCCCCACGTTCTCATTTGCCTGAAGATGAATAAACTTCAGGTTTTAACTGCGATACTATTTTTTTCATGTGATGATGTTTTTTTTGGTGACAAGAAAAAGTATCCCATACAAAAGTATCTCCTCACAAAATATCCCATATGAAAGTATCCCAATAGAAACAATAGCCCATGCCATTATTTTCCACGTCAATTAAAACATCCCATGAAGATTAAAAAAAATTTTATGATATAAATAACCGAGGATTAACGAGACTTACTCTTAAAAGTTAGGGATGATACAAAACAAACTTGCACAATGTTTTAACTTGAACCTTGGGCGGATCTAGGATTTTCTCGAGGGAGGGGGGGGGGAGGACTTTCAAAAATGTTCAAAAATTTTATTGACCTTTTTTTTAGGTCAACCAAATTGATTTTCCAAGCTCTCCCAAAGCACTAAAAAGGCCTTGTTTTGGCCATTTTTTCTGCGCCGCAGGCAAAAATTTGAAAAAATAGGGCAAAAACGGTGTTCTTAGGCACTTTTTGGAAAACTTTGATGAGAAAATTGCGTGTTTTCGGCGCGTGCTCCCCCCTCAAAATAAGTTTTTATTGGCTTTACAAAAATTTTAGGGTACGTCAGCAAAAACGGATATCTCAAAATAGTGCAAAAGGGGACGCTTTGGGTCGGCAGGGGATCGAATCCCTGAGGGGAGGGTAAGGGTCCGCCTCCCCCCCCCCCTAAAACCGCCCCTGGTAGTGAGTAATCTTATATAGATCTTGCTTATTTTTATCAGGAGAAAGTCTCAAAATTTGTTCACGCTTAAAGTCTTAAAGGTCAAGCAAATTGATACCTCTTGGTTGGTGAGGGGATCGAATTCTTGAAGGAAGGGGGGTTGAATTCCTAAACCCGCCCTGATAGAAATGGCTAAGCTGAATTTGGATTTAAACTGGAAACAATTTAAAACATTATGAACGGATTGCGGTCAAAAAAGCCATGTCATAAAGTAGACGAGTTGTAAGCCAATCAGAATCGAGATAAGAAAACAAACGTACGAAGTAATTTCTTTTCTCTATTATGATTGGCTTACGACGTGTCGACTTTATGGCATATCTACTTTTGCTAAGTAACCATTTTGAACTGCATTAAAAATACTCAAAACGCTCATTTTGAAGCAAGATTTTTGAAGTGCAAATGTCTAAGAAAACCGCTCAAACCGCTCGAATGTTGCTTCGAATTAGGTGAAAAATCTCGAATCGGGTGCTAACCTGTGCTCGTGCTTGCTCCCCCACCAACTGTCTGTTGTCCACGAATGCCACGTAGGAGGGTACAGTGGGGCAGTGGTCGTTGTCTTCATCGCAGATGACCTCCGCCACTCCGTCCGAATAGTGGGCTATGCAACAGGCACTAGTGCCCAAGTCAATCCCTATGTATGGACCCATGAATCCTCTTCCAGGTAAAAAGTTGTTTGCAGACTATAAGTGTTTTCCAGAAATCACAATAAATTTTTTTCAGACAACAATTTTATTCTCTGCCAAACTTTGCTGCTGTGAAAGCGCTGTGATTAGTTTTTCTTAAATGTTTTTCGAACCAAAGAATTGCAAGCTTATCAATTTGCGGTTCTTAACACTTTTTGCTCAATCCACTCTCAAATAATACCAGAACTAGATAAATCCACTACAAACTAACTCCTTTTAAAAACGAAATGTTGGAATCAAAGTGATTTTTGATTGAATCAGATTCGGAACCAGATCGTCGGTAAATTTTTTTCTCAGAAATATCATTAATTTTTTTCTAGACAATAAGTATTTTCCAGAAATAAGAAGTTCAGAAAATATGTCGAAGTAGAACTTATTTTCAGAAATTTGCCGCGATGATAAGTTTCGAGAAATTAAGCTGTGAAACTTCCATTTCGAAAAATTCTGCGAAAGTTTAAGCTGCGAAAAAATTGGTTTAAGGGCTTAAAGACAAATGAATGATGCAGATTTGATACGATTATCAGTTATTGAAGCTTTGAAAATTTGCTCACAGCAGTTTTACAATGGCTAATGGTTAAATTTTCTGTTGCTAGTTGCTTTTACCTGTATGTAGATTTTTGAGTAATACTGCCACGGTAAGCAATGGTGCAAGACTGAAGAATGTCCGAAACTGTTTTTATATTACATTTTTGTTTTTCAAAAAGAGTTTGCTGCAAAAATAAAACAAAACCGACACATGCTCAGTTGAAAAGACAGAATATATATCCAAAAATTGAGCTTATTACGATCAAATTATTTGATCATTAAAATAAACGCGGTTTTAAACGCATTCCGTCTCAGCCTTTGAATACCTTACGTGAGCTCAAACTGCATTAGTGTAACAAAAAACTGACGTCTTTTGGCTTCGAAAATGTCATCGAAAGATTTTGATAATTTTTGCAAACTAGCGGACGATTTGAAATCACAAGTATCAAAAAACCCCACGCCCGCCATACGGGAAAGCCGACTCGATGAAGCCTACAATCTGTATGGCAAAGCTGCCGAACAAGCGGTTACACGTGATCAACGGAAAAAAGTACTCGAATCTCTTCAAGATGTTATTCAAAGTCAAATCGTGTTCTACACAAAAAATCTCGAGTACTGCACAAATTATTGGGACAAAGTGTCAAGTTTAGTGGAGAAATTTTCCTTCTGGAGAAGCAAACTGCTGTTTAAAACTATTGGTAACAGCAACCATGTAGACTTTCAGTCTTTAGAAAAGAACTTCGTCAAAACTCTGGACAAATTTGAAAAGTTCATAGCTCTGGATCGCAAACCTCTGGATATTAATCTGATCATTTACGCTTCGCTTACAAAAGGCGCTGACAGAAATGCGCTAGGTTACAAGCTATACATGGCATATGCATGGGTCGAGTTTCTGTTCAAAAAAGGTATTGAAGCTACGGAAACCGAAAATGATTTGGAATCAGCTCAAAAGTTCTTCAAAGAGGTGTACACTCCCCTCGAGGAAGCTCAAAACTCGATTGACAGGAGTAAACGTATTGACGGGATGTCGGCAGCCGAGAAAGAATGGATCAAAAAGTGGGACGATGAGCTGAAAATCAAACGAGAAGAAGTGTCCATGGAGACCAAAAGAGTCGAATCCAAGTTGCTATTGAAATTAGCCGAAGAAAGACACCAGATACTGATGTTCGAAAATGAAACTCTGGATGAAGAAGAAGCCATTGATGTTTATGATATTTACCAGCAAATTCTTACCAAGTCACAGAACTTTGATGTGGAAATGGAGGCTTTGGCTCTGAGTAAAATGGGATTTTACCATCTGAGAGTTCTTCATTTTGACAACAGGGATCTCTACTAACAGATCTATCTAACAAGATAAGTTATTAAAAAAATTCATTAGAAAACTTAAAATAAAACTATTTCAAAATAAGACTCATGATTTGGGCATGAGCTAATCTGCAAAGCGCGTTAAAACAAATAGCCCCAAAAACAGTATTTTTTTTTGCTTTTTTTTGGTTTTTCTATACTGTTTTGTTTATTCGCAGGGCGGAAAATGGCAGTCGGAACATTCAAGGACGCCTTGCTACAAACTTTTTTTAAAATTTTTTAGATTTTTTTACTTCTTAGATTTTTTAAAAGTTAAGTTATTGTTACTACACATAAAATTTCTAATAAAAAAAACGCCTCCAAAGGCAATTTTAGGGAATACCGGATGCCTTTTTGAGGATTTTCACCTCATTCTCACCTAAGCGGTCCTTCACGCACATTTTTCCTGTACTAATAAAGTAGTTTCATTTACTTTTATTCTGACCACCATAAAATTAGTTTCATTTTGACCGCACGACGCTGAAGGCACCTTACGACACATAAAATGGTTTCTATAATAATAGGGCACAGAATTGAGCTAGCTCCTGTCTCCTGTCTGGACTTCGCTGATACATCTATAACATGCGTGAGCTGAACGGAACAAGATTTTCGTACACAAAAATCTGACTAATTGTTTTTTTTTGTAAAAAAAAGAATCCAACGAAAACATTTATTAAAAATTTGATGAAAAAAACACCTAGTGCTTAACCATTCGTTCTTGGAGGCAAAATTAACGATAGTATTTGCAATCCTGTTCAAACTTTGAATTATAAAGGTTAAAATATGGGCCATCAAAATCAGTAAAAATTTATCGAGTGCAAATTATTTGAACAGATATATCGTCAGAGAAAATTTTACTCTAAAACCTAAAGACAAAGACCAAATATTTGGGATATATTCAAGGTTTTTATTCGGATCAATTTTGACTTTTTAGGTGTCACATTCTTCAACCTCACGTTATTTAACCCCAATGTCTGAAATTCTACTTTATAACCCCGTAATATGTAATTTATAGCCCCATAACGACCACGACAATTTGAGATCCTTTTTAATAACGATAATTTGTTTCAAACTAGGTAGTTTTACAACTACAATAGAATTCCAGATAAGTGTACTAATTGAGGACTAGCAAGCCTTTTCCATTCAATTGACGCCTCTAGCGTGTTAAATAAAATTTCATTCCAACTAGCTAAAAAACAATCCCCAATTATTTCTTTTAAAACAGAGATAACCTACATGGTGCCAAATGGAAAGTAACGTGAGACCTAAAAGAATAACATCAAGTTTTACTGCCTTCTACTTGAACGCTTGTTTTTCCAATCTTTGGGCTACAATGTTTGAAACGTCCGTCCATTTTACTTAATCTTTAAGAAAAGACAAACTAATACTAGTGGTATCAGTTCACGAGTATTATCTGAAACGTAAGAACACAAACACTACGAACTGGAACTGCTCAAAGTACCCATCTAATAAATGACAAGCAACAGTAATTACGGATGGCGAAATGTTTACTGGAACGAAAGGTGAGCATGGTTGTGACATTTTTACGGGAGAACCTGATGCTCGTCTATTTTTGAAAAGTATCAGGGATCTGAAATAGAACAAAACTCCAACCATCTCAGCCGCCACAACGTTTCAGCCAGAAGAGACAAATTCTCAACTCAATTCGACCTACAAACTAGAAAAAATTCAGTCCGAATTTCACAACGAATGCTCAAGCAACTAGAACAAGTTCTACCAGTCTCCCAGCAACTAGAAATTTGCCAGAACTATTGAAGAATTTGGGTAAGATTTGACAGGGGACAAATTAATCGCAAAAAAAAATACATTGTTCGGCGACCTGGAAATGCTATGTGTGCGCAAAAAATCAAGTTTTTGACTGGCTGTTAGAACTTTCCAAGTTACTACCAAAGTGCTTAAATCCATTTTACTCTGAACCTGTTTTTCTTTCAGGATCAGCCCCCACTTGCATAAATGCTTTTTTTACCAAAAAACCGGATAAATCATGCTTCTGATTCTTAAAAGCCCTACAAGTTTTAACCCCTGACAGTAGACAGGAAAAAATGTTTTGAATTAAAATGTTGTTTTCATTTTTTCACGAAAAAGTATCTCTTGGCAGGCTCCCGGAGAAGTACAAAAACGCAGTGACTCGAGTCGCATTTCAAAACCACTGTTTGTAGCAATTTAATCCCAGAACGACTGCTTCTTTGATGATACGGTAGGTTGGAGCAAGTGCTGCCTTGAGATGGTTCGAAATGGTTCAAAAAATTTTAAGAAAGATTCGAAATTAGATAAATTTTACTTTAAAATGATTGGCGTTTGAAAAAAAAAACTTAAATTAGATCGATCAAGTTTTTGTTGAATTTTTTTTTCAATTCCGTGTTTCGTTCGAGTTCAGCCTGTTTTTCTGTTATTAGCAAGAAGACTTTCAAGATCAATTTCAATTTGGGGAAAACCGTATAAATTTTGATTATAAACTAGAATCATTGCTGTCGGATTAGTTTGTCAAAGTCTTGACCACGTCCATGTCAAAGTCTTGACTAACGGTTCATGTCAAAATCTAATCATTTCTATCAAACTCTAAACCGCTTTTTTCAGCTTGCATGTTACTTCGTTTTGTTTCGCAAAAATGTTTGCAATTGAAGCTTTGATGATTACCAAAATATCTCCATGTTTCCAAAAGTGGGACGATGAGCTGAAAATCAAACGAGAAGAAGTGTCAATGGAGTCCAAAAGAGTCGAATCGAAGTTGCTATTGCAATTAATCGAAGAAAGACACCAGATACTGATGTTCGAAAATGAAACTCTGGATGAAGAAGAGGCCATTGATGTTTATGATATTTACCACCAAGTTCTCACCAAGTCCCAGAACTTTGATGTGGAAATGGAGGCTTTGGCTCTGAGTAAAATGGGATTTTACCATCTGAGATTTCTTCATTTTGACAACAGGGATCTCTACAAACAGATCTATCTAACAAGATAAGTTAATAAAAAAACTCATTAGAAAACCTAAAATAAAACTATTTCAAAATAAGACTCATGATTTGGGCATGAGCTAGGTAATCTGCAAAGCGCGTTAAAACAAATAGCCCCAAAAACAGTCTTTTTTGCTTTTTAGGTTGTTTTGTTTATTCGCAGGGCGGAAAATGGCAGTCGGAACATTCAAGCACGCCTTGCTACATTTTTTTTTTGTTTTTTAGATTTTTTTATTTCTTAGATTTTTTAAAACTGAAATTATTGAATTATTGTTAATACACATAAAGTTTCTTATGAAAAAAAAAACGCCTCCAAAGGCAATTTTAGGGGATACCGGTTGCCTCTTTGAGGATTTTCACCTCCTTCTCACCTAAGCGGTCCTTCACACACATTTTTCCTGTACTAAAAAAGTAGTTGCATTTACTTTTCTTCCGAGCACCATAAAATTAGTTTCATTTTGACCGCACGACGCTGAAGGCACCTTCGACGACAATAAATACCTTACGACACATAAAATGGTTTTAATAACAGGGCACAGAATTGAGCTAGCTCCTGTCTGGACTACGCTGACACATCTATAACATGCGTGAGCTGAACGGAACAAAATATTCGTACACAAAAATCTGAATAATTGTTTTTTTTTGTAAAAAAAAAAATCCAACGAAAACATTTATTAAAAATTTGTGAAAAAAAAACACCTAGTGCTTAACCATTTGTTCTTGGAGGCAAAATTAACGATAATATTTGCAACCCTGTTCAAACTTTGAATTAAAAAAATTAAAATATGGGCCATCAAAATCAGTAA